GCTCTGGGCCTGCAGGCGCCGGGCCGGCTCAGGCGGCATCCCTAGACGACGACAGGGCGCGAAGCCCCCCAGAGCACCCCGCCCCCAGAGAACCAGGGCAGATGAGGGGTTGCAGGAGCCCTGACCCCCTCGCGTTGCGAAGAGATCACGGCGTGAGTTTTGTTCGCTATTGTCGGCCTTTGGGGGCCCTTGCCGGGCCGTGGGGCCGTCAAAAAAGGACTCAGACTGAAGAGCTGGTGCCGGGGAGTGGGACCAGACCTCTGGGGGTCGACGATGCGCAAGGATCACGACGTTGGGGGTCTGGGAGAGGGGGCCACTCACCGGCGCAGAACAGCCGGCAGGCGCAGACTTCTTCCCGGGGGTCCGCGCGGGGGTCTTGCCTCCGCGGGAGTTGGGTCCAATCGACCCGATCAGATAAATTAGCGCGCGCCACTTCGGCGGCGCGTGCTTGTGCCCAACGCCGTAACTGTTTTTAGCGGTTCCTGCTTGTATGCGCAAGGGCCTGGTGGAACTCTCTGGAATAAGTGGGGTGCGGTGACGGGTGCGCGGAAGGGCAAACGAGCGGGTGCGCGAACGAAACGCGCAACGATCGCCTAAAACCAAACCATTGCAGTTCTCTTTCGACTTTCACCCGCACGTGCGTTGACTTCATCAGTTCCTGTTTCGACCACTTCGGCGGGCCCGCCAGGGCTTCGCCCCGTGCCTGGTCTGTGTCCGGTCGTGGGCGCCCTCGTCGGCGCCCTTGCCCTTTTTGAGAGCCTCCCGGGAGGCCCTCGTCGTCACGGCTGGAGCCACTTTGAATGCTTGGTCAAGTCGGACACGTCCCTCTACAGGAGGAATACTCAGGAGTAGTCAAAAGAGATAATCAGGGGGCGATGTTCCTGTCATTATGTCTGATCGCCTGTGAGTCCTGTTAGACTATGTCTTGTTTTTCTTCCGAAATCCGCCTGCAGGAGGACATGCCCGTCTTGAAATGATCGTCAGGACGCACCCTGGGGAGAGGTCTGGGGAGCAGCGGCGTCGCGGCGGCATCGGCATCGGCTGGCCCCCCCCAAAGGGAGGAGGGGTCGAGCCATCTGGGACCCGACGGTGGCGCAAACTTGCAAAAAAATACGCGTTGGCTCTAGGCCTCCCAGATGGGGTGCGAGCAGATGGGGTCGGAGGATCGCGCCGCATCGCCGATGCATCGACGATGCGGCTCGATGCGGAGCCCCATTTTCTCCACGCCCACGTCGCCGACGCATCGCCGACGGTGCCGATGCATCGTCGATGCGTAGTCGACGTATCGGTGATGCATCGGCGATGCGGCGTGATCCTCCGACCCCATCTACTCGGACCCCTTCTAGGAGGCCTCTATTGGCGTTCTCCCTCATTGCCTCCTCTTCCCTCACCGAGCGCGCTCCACTACTCGCAAAGTGCCTGCTCGCAAAATGTTCGAAACACACATGTGTGTTCGCCCCGATGTAGTGTCTCGTAGGTCCCCCGCGGCGGATCGAGGCCATCTGCGAATAGTTACTTCGCGAGTAGCGGAACGCGCTTGTCCATTCCTTCACTTCGATTGGGAGGGAGAGTGGGTATCAGTGAAGGCGCCGCCGTTGGGACTCCGTGAGCATGGCACTCTGCCGTTTTTGTCGGAATCCGGTGCCTCGTGGGCAGTAGCACTCTGATGCGTTCCCATTGGCGGCGTTCTGTTTTGGCTCCTCCGTCCTAAGCCAGAGTGACGCCCCCACCCCCGACCGCGACGGGGGTGGGGGCGTCGCTTTGGCTGAGGACGCGGGAGGGGGAGGAGGAGGAGGAGGAAGAGGGGGAGGAGGGGGAGGAAGAGGAAAGAGGGGGAGGAGGAGAGGGGAAGGAGGAGGAGAAGGGAGGACGGAGGAGGAGGAGAAGGAGGAGGAGGAGGAGGAGGAGGAGGAGGAGGAGGAGGAGGAGGAGGAGGAGGAGGAGGGGGAGGGGGAGGACGAGGGGAGGAGGAGGGGGAGGAGGAGGGGGAGGAGGAGGGGGAGGAGGAGGAGTTGCCAGAAAGGTGGCCGCGACGCTGGGTGTGATTTCTGCGGGCGGCCCACGCTCTTGTACGCCGGCCTCGAAGCCCCCCCCCCCCCTGCCAGGGATTCCCGCAGAGTTCCGCCGCTGGGGGGCCGAGGGCGTCTCTTTCAGGGGCGGCCAAGAGGGGGGTGACGGCAAGGGGGGACTGGGTATCTCGAGGAAGAAACACGGCATGAGCATGAAGTTTGAGCGCTCCGCGCGGATTTCTTTGATCCGCGCTGGGCCCCCCGTCAGTGCCTCCAGCGCCGCCCCTGGCGCGCTCCGCGCGCCAAGGAAGGGGTCCAGCGCGGATCCAAGAGATCCGCGCGGAGCGCCAAAAGTGTATGTTTATGAAGCTTGCTCTTCGCCTAGACAGGGCAGGACTGGATATCAGGGCCTGTGCCATGAGATCTCTCCGAACCCTATGGCCCACTCCTTCTTTCTCGACGCGGCCTCTGCCCCCACCTCCCAGCGCCGC